TAAGAAATATCTCATGGCATAAATTGATTCTAGCAGACTAATAGACTAACTAGAACTAAACACAGCCTGTTTTTAAAGACTCTAGGTTTGGAAAAATTTTGATAAGTTTAATTTGTTGTATGGGAATGAAAATTACATTTAAGAATCATTCAATCAAATGAAACCCTCCCATTATGTACCTTATTTTATAAACACTGGCCAAAGTAAGTACATGAAGAAGTCTGCCGTAAGTGGTTATGTATGGGAAAGCTAAATTTTCTGACGATTCAAAATAAGCAAGGAAGAAAATATTAAAATAGACTGCAAATTGTGACACAAGATATTGTAACATTGAATGATTAAGCATGAAAATAGCAGATGATAAGCAAATAAGTTCAAAATAATGTACTGTCCTGGGAAAGAATATGCAACATACGCCATGAATTAACTATTACTACTCAGGGCATTATGAAATCATTACAGCTTGTCTTCTAAAAATTTCAGCATGATCATGAACAACCCCTAGATTTTGGTAACAATTAGGATGGAGTGGGGAATGAAACAGGGAACTCTACTATTGGAGAGAGCAACACAGTGACAGCAGTAGACACAGTAGAAAAGTATGAAGAAATGCAATGGGAATGAACAGAATAAGATGAAGTTTTCTGTTGAGGACAAACTAAACCAACCAGGACTCATGAATTCAGTATATAGAGAGCTGAAGAGGGATATTTAAAAATATTCAAAATCAAGGATCATATTAAGTACATAGGGAACAAGACTTATTATTTTCTTCATAATAGCAGTAGAGGGAAATAGCTGGAATGATTTGAGAAAACCTAAAAGTCAAAAAGAAAAAGAATCTTTATATTCACCATCAGTGAACTGACTTTCCATAAACTTGTCTTAATATTTTTTTTTTTTTCACTTTTAGAAAAAGTGTTTCTTTTTGACTAAAATTTTTTCTAAAAGTGAATAATGAAGCCACGTCAATTATTGCCACATGCTTTTGTGGTGTACACGTAATAAATATTAAGACAAGTTTATTGAAAATCAGTTCACTGATGGTGAATATAAACAGTGGTCTAGCCATAGATTTTGGTTTAAGAATTCTCATAATTACCAGCTGTTACAACTTGGGAGGGTAAATTTTATCGAAGAAACATGGGAGGAATGGCCTCATCCTGACCTGCTTGCTATGCAACTGCTGCTGGCTGCTGTTTGATGCTATTTTCTATGCTTAAGTGATCCTTTGTTCTATTCAAACATGATTTTTTTTAATCTTGCATTTGATCCAGCTTGTAGCTTTTTTATTCTTTTTAAATTAGAATGAAATTGCTGTAAAACCATAAATCATACTAAAGTTATGTATGTTGATAACATACAAGAATATGTATACCTATGCCTAAATCATAGAATACTGTCTTCAAATTTCTGAGTGTTAAGATTTAAATTGATTCAAGAGCACAATCTGAAATATTATTTCTTATTACATTTATTTATAAAAAGACATTTAAATATGATCACTTCAGAACTCTCCCCCAAATATAAGTAACACTGCAGGACCTTTTCAGAGGTCTGTAAAACCCTTCTCTCTGATGGCTAAAGGGAAAGACTAAGAATTAGGAGACCCATAAAATGAAATCACTTCCATTACTTACATTTCCTTTATTTCCTTATCTATTTGTTTCCAGTTAAACTGTCTTCATTCAAAAAATAAGGACCTGAAGTATAATAAGGATAGAGACTTAACTTACTAAGTCAGCTGGTGAAACCCAGTATGGAGAATGGCTGAGGAGATCTCAAGTACTGCACAGAACCTTAGCCAGTAAAGTTCATTGCCTTCGATTGCTCTGAAGACAACAGTTAGGTGAGATTTACCTTTACCTTTTGTTATGAGCAAGTAGAAGAAAACCATCTGTTTCTAATAAAAACCTGTTACATGTGTTATTACTTTATTGTATTGTTACTTGGCTCTAACAATATATGCCATGAAAAATGTAAGCCTGTGAGGTACGTTAATAACACATGGTCATGGTGTTCTTGACGCTTTCAATGAATTCAAAATATGAGCACTTCCTTATTTTAATCAAATTGTTAACGGAATGAACACTCTCTGGCACAGCACCAAGATGTGACACATCTGGTAACTGCTGCAGAATATAACACCACTCAAAACCATGGGAACTAATCACAGCATATTTTCAAAGTAAAATTATCACTTAGGGCAGATTAGTGCAACGTAATGGGAGAGAGAAAAGCATCTTTTGGAGTCTTGAAGTATAATGTTTGAGGAGAAAACACATATCCTACAAAGCCTGGATAGGAAGGATGCAACAGCATATGGAAAACTCCACTGAGTGCTTTAGGAGCCACCTGCAAGCCACTGAATGGTAAGTGCAGTAAAAAAGATACACCTTACTAAGTCATAAGATGGAAGATGAAGCTGGCAGTAGTGCTAAAGTGTAGAGGTTTAGAGTAATGATGAATCACTTACTTTAGTCATAAAAAAATCAAGTTCTGCACTGAAAGGGGCAGAAGTATCTGAAATAATGAGTAGTGAGCAAAACACACAAGACTTTGTTTCTAACTAGTCTTGTAAGTCTTCCTGTACACAAAACTCCACATCAAAGCTTTCCAATACTTAAACTACAAACTTGCTTCTACAAACTTCCTTGCTGCCACAAGGAAATTGGATGAGTGGTATGTTTGTGCCAATAATGGCAGCAAAGGTGCTGGATAATAAGATTTCCTTCCTTCATCATCAAGCTTGGATTTTGCACTTTGCTTTGAAAGCAGGTTGGTTGACATTCTACAAATACATTATAATTACTTCACTGGTGGCAACATGTGCCAAAAAAAAACCCCATGTTGTTCTTTGTGAAGCTATTTTAAGGGCTATTAAACACAAAATTTAGTGTGATTTTGCAATACCATCTAGGGTACCATTCTGTTAATAAATCCAGTTAAATGACTATTACAGACACTGTCTCCGGGAGGTGTGGCTGGGGTTGCACTGTTCAGGACACAGCCAGCTTCAGCTGGTTCCAATGGCCCCAGCAGACAGCTGGGACACCTCTAGAAAACACGTGCTTAAGAAAAGTAAAAATGCTGCACAGTGATGTGTGGAGTGAAGAAATAAAGTGGTGAGAAACAACCCTGGAGCAGGAGGCTGTAAGACATTATTCTGTCAACGTCTGTGTCTCAAAGTTTGCTGGGAACACCGATGGACTTGTTCAAGTCCAGACAAGTCCCGAGCAAGGAGGATGAAAACCTTTGTCTTAAGGAGACAGATAGACCAGTCCAGGCAAGTCCTAGGCAAAGGTTGTGAAATCCTTTGTCTGGGGGAACGCAGATGGGCAAGGCCAGGGGCAACAAGAGCGAGATGAACTGCAGCTAAATAGCTGTGAAGTGCTCCTTTCGGTGGACCTATCTCAGGATGACGGGCCATCTTAGAGGGTACTCAATGACTCTTGCTCAAGGCCCATCCTTGTCACGTAGGCAGGAGAATAAGGAGGATAAAAGAGGAACTGAAAACCATGAGGATAGGTTTCTGACAACAGATTCCTCATGAAGAAGAACAGGGGTTTCTGACAACAGATTCCTCATGAAGAACAGAGAGAGAGGAATTCCTGAAGATAGAAGGATTCCTGAAGATTGAGGGGGTTCCTGCATACTGTTGAACTCTCCTGAGCCTGCTGCCTGACCGCTGTTGCTGCTTCAAGAATTGGCTCCTCGACTTCCTCGTCTACCTGCCTGCTGCCCAAGGCCGGCCTCTCTGCTGCTCCCCGTCTTCTGCTGCGTTCTGCCCGGGACCTTCAAACACCGTGCAACGGGACCGCTGCTGGATCCTGCTGGTGACTCTCCCCGCTTTACGCAACTCCTGCTTCTTTTCCATCTTTTCTATCGCACTCCTTCCCTTCCCCGTCTCCCTGATTAGGTCTTAGTAATAAATTGGATGGAACAACATATGAACCGTTGTTTCTTAATCTCACACCGGGTATACAGATATTAAAGAACCTCATCTCCCTCCTATAAATTGGAGCGAGACAGAGGCGAGAAGGTGCTTTAGGCACCAGAGCAGCTATCTGCATTGCACCTGAGAAGGACCCCATGTTGAAATGGGTACACAAGCCCTGAATGAGATTATAGGCTATGGAGAGCTCACTGTTGGGTGTGTTTTCCTTGCAGGAACTTCAGTCCCTAAGAAGGATCCATGCTGAAGCATGGGGGAAAGTGGGAGGAAGAAGTGGCTAAGAGGAGTCGTTCTAGACTAACCAAATTCCCACTCCCTGTGCCGTTTAGGCAAGTGGGAAGTACTGGAGAAGGAACAAAGGAGTGAAGATCAGCCTGGGAAGAAGGAGAGGGAAAAGGTGCTTCAGGTTTTGTTTCCTACAAATTAAATCCCTTTTAATCATCAATAAGTTAGGTTGATTTTCTCCAAACTGATTCTGTTTTGCCAATGATGGCAATTGGTTAGTGATCTCCTTGCCATAGTTTCAACCTCGAAGTTTTTTTAATCTTTTTTGCTCTCTTTTATGGTGAAAAAGCAGTAAGAGCGAACAGCTGGGCAGGTGTCTGGTAGCTGGCCAAGTTCCACCAACTAAGAGGGACACACTAGACCTGAGATACTACAACAGAAGTTATTTGTTGGGCCAAAAATACTGATTATGATGAAAAATTTCTGTTGGATTTTTACAGTTCATAACTATACAACCAAATAACCATTTCCACAGAACTCTATAAAAACTGCATGTAGTTGTTCAGCATCTCAGAACTCTCAATTTCTAAAAGGCTACTATGCTTTATACCAACTGCAAGCTTGCTTAGTACAACAGTATGCATGTAAAGTAATATTATTATTATAATCTAATATAAAGTAATATTATAGATAAAATTTCTTTAGAAAGGATCTACAGCCTTTCAAAATTAGAGCTCTTTAACTAACCTATAATCAAAACAGTTTATCAGACGTAATACAGCTACTTGATCTGTAGTGAAGCTGTTCTCCCCTGACTTACCAAATTTACTCTACAAACCCTTGGATTATTTTGCTTGAGTTTGCCTTGTCTTTCTGGCCTTTATAGAAAACAGAAGGCACAAAAGATAACTGATGTTTTCCCATCTGTTTTCTTAATAAATGCCCTCTGTTACAAAGGACTGGTGAGCGGACAAGCAAGTGGGACTTACATATCTAACCATACGCCCAGCGCTGCCAGGGATCCAAGCTGTGTTTTGATAAGGATTTCCTGGATGATGCGATAAAATTCTTCCTGAATCTCAGAGGTATCTTGGACATCTGGCAAATACATTTCATCCAGTTCACGAAAACAAATCATGTCTAATTACTCAAGTCCTAAGTCCATCTTTTCTTGTCCCTTTCCTGTAACTGAAAAATTCTGCTTAATAAAAAACCACCTCTGACTCCAGCACTTGAAAACGTGATGCCACGTTATCTCCTAGAGGTCCTAAATGACAAGACTGAATAACAGAAGAAAAAAAGCCAAAATAAAAATCGAACATTTATGTACACATAAAACTACCATCAGTTTGCAATCAGAAAATTCCATATGTTATTACAGTACATAATGCTTACAAATTATTAGTCTGGTTACGGATATATTTTTTTAAGTGCAGCTGTATGAAATCATGTAATGCTTTCAACTATAGACATGCTAATACTCACAGAATTACTGCTCTGACACTTTATTAGAGATGAAGTCTTATATCTTTAAACATATCCCAAACCAATTGGCCAAAAGGGCTTTCCATACCAAGGTTGTGATCACAAAGTACTCTGACAAGGACAATGCACTCCACGCATCTTCCATGGAGGATGAGCTCTGCTTCAATCTTACTTTGTATCTCATGCCTGGCTTTCTCAGAGTACCTGTCACTGCACAGGGTCAGCTCTACATCTCCTCTATTTCAGACAAAGAAACTCCAGCCAAGGGATTTGCAAGTATGCTGTATTCAAAGATACACTTGTTGAGAAATTAACTGATAAAAATATTCACATTCATTTTGAAAGGATCAGTTCATCCTACTTCACTTGGAGTAATCCAATTGCCATGTGTATGAACATCTCATTTTCGGCATCATGTTATAAGCCAATGCCAGAAGCAGAACATTGAATGAGATAAATTAATAATCATTCCCACGTGCCATACCAGGAAACTGTCAAGAAGATGAAACAAATTTGTGTTTAAATGCTTGGAGCATCTTCCATGTATCTTTGTAAGGAGTGAATGTCCCTGACTAGACTAGCTATGATAGTTTGGAAAGGAAGCAATACATTTCCTGGAGATCTGTTACACCTGAGAAAGTAAGAAAGAGGAGAAAAGATTTTATAGACAACAAACTCTTCGGCTGAAGTTCAAATTGCAGATGAAGATTACTTGTCAAGGGGAAAAGAAAAGAAGACAAAGCATAAAAAGATAGCAAACTTGCAAAATGACAAGAGAGTTGAGACAAAATTAAATCTGTACCATAACAGTGAAATAGTTTTATGGTTGTTTTGTTTACAGATTGAAGTATCTACATTCGAAATAGCTGCTGGCTTTTCGGAATAGTTTTGATATTTTATTTCTCCGATTACAGATCACACTAATAACTTACAAAACTGCAAGAATTTTCATACTGTGGATGTTTTTATCTCTGCTCCTTCTCAAAATGGAGCAGCAAAATTAAACTAACATCTGATAAAGAAAAAAAAGAATGCTTGTGCTCTTGTTCTTCTTTTGAAAAGACTTTTTTTCTCCCCTTGCTGATGAAGAATGTATCTTGCAGTAAAAAATGGGTCCATGATTTGGATGACACATCATAAAATCTGTTCTTGACTCTGAATTTCTTCTGTAACCAACAGATACAGGACTCACAAAGGAAAAAAAAAAAAATAATAATGCTTATATTTCTTTTGGTTTTGCTTTTCCCTTTGCGTAAATTGAAAATGAAAATTTTTCAATAATTCTTAAGTGCCAATGAACCTTTGGTAAGCTTCCAGCCAGCCTTACAGAAATTGTATTCTATTCTGGAAGACCTACTGTGTTTTACTGTGAATGTTTGAAAATGGTAAACCAAAACTTTCATGTCTTGGATTTTCATAAAATGTACTTAATTTGCTGCTTTAGCAAGAATAGAAAATGAATTCATATATTTTTGAGCCCATGACCGTGTTGAGGCTTACAGCCTAGGCTCCTTTGCAACAAGGCACTGCTGTAGTGAAATCCAGGGACTGCAATACAAATTCTTCCATTTGAAGCAAAATATCTGATCCATGGACATCTGATCAACTGTACTGATAGATCATCTAAACCATTATCATTAAACCACCATTGCCTCAATAGTCGTGTTCCTTATAGAATCATAGAATTACCAAGGTTGGAAAAGACCAATCCTATCCTTCCTTTATGACCTTCTGATTGTTCAGTGACATGTCCTACTACCAATTATAGCCTCAATTTTCATACGTCCTCTGCATGGTCTCTCTCACGGCTGCCAACTATGACCTCAGAAACAGATGAGATTACAGTGTGGTTGTTCCATATTGAATTTGCGCTGAGGGGTATGTGAATCTTGTGGTCATCAAGGAGAACAGAAAAATAAAGAAAACTATTATATTTCCTTGCAATCTTACAGACTTGCCCTCAATAGTGCCACTAATTCAGTGGTATTTTCTGTTTGCCTCATGTTTAAAAAAAAAAAAGTATTTTAAGAAATTTAATGCGTTAGAAAAACAGCTAAGAAATACTGCAGATGTGACCACCAAGTAAATGGAAATAAGCTTTAGATAGCATTGACCAAACTCATTACATTGCATTATATTTTATACATACAATCTATCTGTAGAAGTTCCATTGGAGAACTGAAAGAACTCTGTGTAGAAGTTTTCTACTTTTCTTGAGATTACAACTGTTTTACAAGGGAGAATGACAATGTTTTAATAAATATTAAAGAATGTCAGCAGGTTTTTTAAACCTGTCATCAAGAGGCAAATACTTTTCATCCAGAGCCAGGAGGGACAGGCACTTGCCAAAGTATATCATCACTCTAATTTCATTCTTGCTCTCACTGCCACTCCGTATAAGCTATGTTTGCACTAAAGTTATTTACCTTCATCAGCCTTAGCTTCCATTGAGAAGTTTTTGGTTGTTTTTGTTTTGATGGCTTATTTTGTTTTGTTTTAAGATGATATATTTTTCTTAGTGACTTATCAAGGAAGATTTATGGAAAAAGCTTTCCACCACAGAATGCCGTACTTAGCTGATTAAGCAGATTAGAGGTTTGCACCTCAGAATTCAAGATTTCATGTACAGTGTTAATCTATATCTCTTAGAGTATGTTCTATCATTCAAATGAGCTTGTACTAAGTCATTGAGACGTTTAAATTATCTTGTAGTTTTGAGTTGCTTGTCTCACAGTTTCCCCCTCTTTCATACCAATACATTCTGAATTGAATTCTGATTCTATAAATGTTTATTGTTAAACCTAATTTTTACATACACTTGAGATTGAAACTTGAAGCAGTTCAGACTTTCTGGAGAAGAGTGGTGGCTTGTGCTACTTGGCCAATCCTTGGCCACGGATACTTAACAAATGAAATATTAATCCAAAAATATCTTAAAGAGCAAAAAGAATATTGATTTGAAACAAACAAACAACACATACTGAATATCGTATTCTAGCACAGATACCTGGAATAATGCCTTCGTGAAAAATGCTTATACTTCTAGACCATTCAGATAGCCAGAAGTCTCTTCTAAAAAAAGTGCATAAGATTGTCACACAGAATGCAGAGTCTCTATTTATCAATCAAGATGTGTTGCAAATTACTTTTTAGAACAAAATGAAGCAGAATAGACAACGTTAGGCTCAGGACTATACTCAGTGCTTCCAGATTTTTAAAACATTTGCTGCAGTACAGCTTCACACAATTGACAATCATTTTCTTTTGTCTGAATTAAGAAAACTTTTTTTACTATTCTAATGATTTCAGAACAATAAAATTGGCTTTGTTCTTCTTCTGTGCTTATATTCAGTTGTCTGAAGATTAGAAGCCAATGCATTTTTCTCCAAACAGTTAGGTGTTCCCTCGTACTCTGCATTTACTCTATTAATCTGAAGAGGATGAAAGTAAAACTTGTGAATTTAGAGGTGTTTGAAGAATTTCCAGAAAAAAAATGTACAAGACAGAACTTAGTTGTCTTGAATCCTGAACAAAGCAAGATTTATTTGTGGCCAAAAACCAAATGTGGGACTCCAACCGAGATCCAATAAATCTTCTTTCCAATTGACTAATTCTGAAGGTAGTTAAAATAAGTAGGTTGTCTTACCCTGTCTACTCATCTGTGCATGCTTAAAATTGCCCCAAAGGCAGGGGAGATGATCTATCTTTCCAAAGGCTCCATTCCAATCTAGAATCACACAGACAGATATGACGTCTGTTTAATTTACATTAAAAAAGCTTTCAAAGTTGAATTTGGAACCTCTCACTTACCTAACAACGGGGAGCTAAAAGCACTGATCGAGAAAACAGCAGATGTTCATTCTGAGTTATGTACAGCGTTTGGGTCTGTATGTTTTCCAAAAGTGGAGCAAGCTTGTTCTGTAGTATCCTGAATGTAAGAGTTCTCTGTCTTCTACTGAAGCCGAAGCACTATATGGTAACAAAATGGTGACAGTCCAAGGAGGTTAACCAGGAGGTGATGGCCATTTCTTACTGGATTTGTAGGTAAGCGTCACATAAGGATGACAGGATGACAAATTAACTTAGGCACCCAGTGTGGTCTTCTGCAGCTGACTAAATTAGGTGCATGCTCAAAATAGAGACTTTGGTGGGCAAAACCATCCATAGCAACAATACAGGGATTCAGAACCACTGGCTTGTTGTTCCTTATTTTATAAGGAATTTAGGTAGTTCTTCTGTTCTGGTAGTTGTTCAAGAGATGTTGGTCACCTTTTGACTCTGATGTCAAGGATTTGATGTGTGGTTGAAGTTAATCTGAGACACCTAAAAGACTAGATTAGGTTTTGCTCTAAGTCTGAAAGCATATTTTAAAAAGTGTCAGAAAGGCTTTAAGTGCCTATTTATATCAGAATAAAATTACCCAGACAGTTGAATTTATACAGTGATGTATAACGCACGTCATTGTCATTTTTGCTGAGATGAGCACTGGGCTGTCTGTTGTACCAGTTAATTTCAGATTTAAATATCACGTGCCTAAATGCAAGTGCCTGACCCTACAGGGGTATTCAGGGCACAAAGACACCAGAGTCCAGCACAAACAACTTCCAGTCAAAATCATGGGAGGCAGAACAAAGCAATTGTCAATTTAGTGGC